AAAAAAAAAAAAAGTAAACAAATAAATAAAAAAAGAAAGATACAACAATCACAATAATAAGCTGAACTTTCAAAAGGAGAGAACAGAACTGAAGTTACCAGAGGTGGGAAAGAGGGAGGGGAAGGGGGGTAAAGGAGGAATTGGTAAGGGGCCATGAAAAGTGATTACATTGTAGAATATTGAATATACTAATTATCCTGATTTGAGCATCGCATATTGCACAAAGGTACTGACATTCAACTTTGTATCCCACAGATATGTACAATCGACTATGTTTTAATACATAAATAAGTCAAACAAAAAAGCAAAAGAAAAATTAAAAAAAAAAAAAAGAAAGAGCTGGCAGTAAGACTGGTTAGGAAGCAGGAAAATACGTTCTGTTTCAGAGGAGAGGAGACCAAAGGACCATTTAAATGTTCTCCTGCACAGGGGATGAGGAAGAAAAGGATTTTCTTCCCTTCAGTGAGTATATAACAAAGAAAACAGGATGTAGGATCTATTTAGGGAAGATTTTTCTCCCAGCAAAAGTTATGCATGAGGAAGAACTTTCTAATGGAAGTGGTGGGATCTCTTTTGTTAGAGATCCTTAAAAATAGGGTAGATGTTATATCTGCAACTGTTTACGTACAATCAGTTTCTGGAGCATTGTTCTGTTTGCTAACTCTTGTTAGAATTCAGGGCAGGTGGTAAATAGATGTACTATACCATCAAACCCTGATTCTACAGCAAGGAATAGTTTCTAAAATATAAAGGCACAATAATAAGAATTACATTTCTAACCTCTTTGGCTCATGATTCTCTAAATCTCTATAATCTAAAATAGGAAATCCAATTCTGATAGCCAGCACCCAGTACTAACTGCCCCCCATGACATTTAATCAATTTTGACTAAGCAAGATTTTTTTTTATGTTAACATATTATATTACAATAGTACAATGTAGCAGTTAAAAGCAGAAGCCTTGGGCCGGCCCGGTGGCGCACTGCTACAGTGCGCCGCTTGGGAAGCGCGGCGGCGCTCCCGCCGAGGGTTCGGATCCCATGTACAGACCGGCCGCTCACTGGCTGAGCAAGGTGTGGGAGCAACACTGTGGGTTGCGATCCCGTTGCCGGTCCCGGTCCGGTACGGGCGCGACACTGAGGGTTGCGATCCGTTGCCGG